TTTATTTTTCCTAATAATTAATTCACAAGAGCTTAACTTCGGTGTAACCCTGGCGGTCTTTTCATTACAAAATCCCCGCGTTTCCTATTGAATTAGCTCTGCTCCATTGTCGCTGAAATGAAGACGCCAAACCAACTTTTACCCTGAGCATTTTCTCACCAGCCCAAAGAAAAGTCTCTCTCCTTTTTCTTTACTCCGATTCTTTTTTTTTTTTTCTTCCCCCCCTTTTTTTTTTTTCCCTAACAAACCTTTGTTTTCCATCTAGAAAACTGTCCTGAGGCACGACTTAGGGAGGCAAACATGCCTCGGCTGGGGCCGGGGGGGGATTTCCCTGGGCTGCCCGCCGTGCCGCCAGCCTCCCTCCCTCGCCGGCTCTCCCTTCATCCCGAAAAAGAGGGGCCTTCCCGCCCCCTCTATCCCACTCCCGACCCTTCCACCTCGGAGCCTGCTCCCTCCTGCCTCCCTTCGCCCGCTCCATCGCTCACTTTCCGAGCTCCGGGGATCGTCTCCAGAGCAGAAAACCAGCGGGATGCGGGGGGCTGCTTTTCTTTTCCCTATTCCTCCCCGCCTCCCGGCTTCCCCCTCCTCCCTCTCAGCTTGGAAAAGGGGGTGCGAGCTAGAAAAGGGGGGGTATGAGCTGCAGGGAAGTGTAATTTCAGGAGAAAAAGCTGAAAGAGAGGTGCTGAGCACGGATTCCCTCCTAAGCCCGTACGTCAGCGATTAAAATTGCCCGTTTCTCCCCTTTCTTGACTCCCGAGGGTGAAAGTTGAGACACCTCTGCCTGCGGAGAGGGGTTAAAACTCCTTTAAAACCGGCACCCCGTTAAAATAGGCTTCCTGCAGCCGGGGGGGGGGAGGCAGAGCTAGGGGATGCAGGAGAGCAGGGGCTGCTTTTCCGCATCCCTCCCCTCTGCTCTGGGGTGATGTTTGGCCACCGCTCGCACGCCCAAAACACCCACCCGGATCCATCCTCAGCCTCTCCATGCCCGGGCTTGATGGGGATTTGCGGGGTCCCGTGCCGGTCGTACCGGGAGGGTCGCGACGGGGAGATGGGGGGGCGGCCTCTCGGCCGTGCCCCGGGGGAAGAGGAAGCTCTTGACCCCTGGCCCCGAGGGCGGGTTAAACAAACAAAGTCCCGCCGCCCCATTATCCGACCGACAGCATCGAGCCCCGGGAGAGGAGCGGGGTCTGCAAGAGGGGCAGGGGGGGTTGGAAGTCGCGTCTCCCATCGCCGTTGCCTGACCCCGACGGGACGCACCGGGATGGGGATGCGTCCCCGGCAGACAAAGAGCCTAGGAAAAAAAAACAAAACCAA